ATTCCATCTATCATATTCAGCACTCCCAGAATGTGGTTCTTTTATTCTCCCATTAATATAACCTATCTTCCCCCTTGCAGTGATGTACAGCTTGATCCCTCTTGACCACTCTAAATAATTCAAACCATCAAGAGGGACAACAGCCATTGGAAAGGATAGGTCCACACCCCCACTCATTCCATTAAGCGTTGAGGAAACTCCGGATGTAGCAGAATCTTCACCACTCATGATTTCAGATTCAAAAACAACACCCAAAAGAGGAACACAGCCTTAATAAAGTTGTTACAGAAGGTACCAGCCACTTCCAGACCTTCAGTCCACCAAAAAAGCTGCTGTTGCAGCACATAAACAAGGTCCTTACGACCTACAGTTTCACAGGGATCAAACGACCCCACAAAAAAGGAAAAGAAAGAGGTGCAGCTCACCTCACATCCAATCGGCAGACCTAGTACAGGTCCAGTGCAGGCACACGACCAAAAAAGAGAAGAGAGTAAAAAAAAATACTTCAGTTGAACATCAGGACAGCCAAACAGCAGATGAGAACAAAGTAAAAGAAGGTTACTTCAGTTGAACATCAGGACAGCCGAACAGCAGATGAACAACAGAAGATAACTTCTGAAAGTCTGTCACCCTCGAAACAAAGTCTTCTACATGCTGGAAGAGGAAAAGACAGACTGTACGACTTCACCCTTCAGACCTGGACGTCCTGCTCTGATACCATGTTGTACAGGAAGAAGAGAGAAAGGGAGAGAGGAGAGGAGAGACGAGAGGACTGAGAGCCCAAAAAGATACTGCAGGCGGTGCAGTATGTTATATTTATACTAAGGCGACAACAACTAAACATAAAGAAAAGGAAAAGTACAATAGTACCCCTGCGGTACTATACATATATAAAATAACATCTGTTAACAATTTTCAAGTTAGTTCTTACTTACAATTCAGGTTTTAAAGTCCTAAAGGGTTCAAGACTATGTCACTAACTTGTGTGTAGATTGAACCCAAACAAGTAAGAAAATAATAAAAAGAAACTAGGATAAGAATACTAATATTAATACTATAAACCCACAATATAAATAATTTAGTCTAATAATATCTATTGTACTACTAATAATAAAATAAAATAAAATAAAATAAAATAAAATAAAATAAAATATGAAAATATTGTGTGGTGTATTACATATAAATATGTAGGCGTTTAGGCAAGGCAACCCTCCAAGAATGCCTTATTGTAGGCATCTGAGAAATGAGGTTGCATAACCCATTTCCAATATCGACGTCTATCAGTGCTTTGAAAATCATAACTGTATTGTAGATCATAGAGAGTGCTGAGTCAAATCAAATTGGGAATCTTATTGTTAATAATAAGATTATTTTTGTTTTTTATAAATTTGTCAAAAAAAATCAAAAACAGATATACTAAAATCTTAAATATATAGAAAAGTCATTTTAGCATAATACAATTGAGTTTACCACTTGCAAACTAAAAGTGCAAGATGATATGATTGATTTTAGCTTGAAAGTCAACTAATGAGCATGCTGTGGCTCTTTAATGGTTTAACCCACATATGATGGAAAATAAACTCAACAAGGCTTTTCAAATAGGTCTTAAATAATCTAAATAAATGAGATTCTAGTAAGGTTTTTAAAACAAGAGCCCTTTAAAATTTTAGAAGAAAGAAATGAATGACAAAATATAAAACTAGGTCTCAAACAAATTGATCTAAATCATAAGTTTCAAAAAAATTATGGGATTAAAAACGTAATATTTTTTTGGTTAGGTAATGTAAAGTATATTGTATTAATATAAAAAAAGTCATATTAGAGTTGACTCAAATATAAACTGTATCAGAAATCATAAAATTTTGGTAACTGTAATGTCCATGTGCTTACCTGTAAGTGGGCACTTGGTATAAAACTACATATGAGAATATGAAAACCCCAGCAGATGAGGCAGTTTATTTTTTATTTGGCAGCTTTATTTTGGGCCCGTTTGGCAAGTCTTTTTGAGAAGATCTTCTTGTAGCTCTGACAGTCAAAAGATGCATTGAGCTTTTGACATAAGATCTGTGCAGCCTGAAGACCGTTTGGCAGACACGCATCTTTCTGTGCGTTGTTTCGGGTCTTTCTGTGTGAGATTAAAACGCGAAAGACGTGGGAAGCTTCCTTTGGAGCTTCCCGAAATCAGCCCAAAATGGGCTTCACACATCTTTTCGGCGTCCCGTCTTTCGGCGGCTAGATCTTCCACGTGCCAAATGGAAATAGACCGATTTTTGGTCTTCCCGGCTTGTAGACAGCTGAAAGATCGCACGGGAAGACGTGCCAAATGGGCCCTTACTCTTCTTTTTCTGTTACCTAACCTCTCTCTTTTTCTCTCTCTCTCACACAGTAATGTCCATAACTAGGCATCTTGAACTTATTCCAGATAAAATGAAAAGTATTAAATTCTATATTAAAAATGTAGCAGAAAATAAAATAATATCTGAGAGGACAAACCAATGACTGTTCTATACACATCTCAACTATGCATTGAAAGCAAGTTCTTTGAGTATATGGAGTTTCTTAATTGCAGGTTGTGGAGTTCAATAATTCTCTTTATTTGTTGTAAGTTTCATTTTGGTCAATTAAATACCAGCAGCATTTTGTTAAAACTTGTTTATGTAACTTGTGGTGTTACAGTTCGGGGAATCATATTCAATGGAACATAATGCTAAATATTACTTGCAGGGGCTGTGAAAGATTCAGTTGTAGGTGAGGAACGTCTTGCTCAGTACTTGCTAGCTGTTCTAAACAGTCGAGGTACACCTCTACATTGGAGGAACTTGAATAATAGAAGACTGGAAGGGCTTCGTGCTGAATTCAAGGAAACAAAGGAGAAAACTCTTAGAGACCTGCTCCCGAAAAGGAGGAAACTACCAACTGAATCAGATATTTGGCATATTGAGGTAAGAGCTATCTGTTTAGGGATGCAAGTGGATCGGATTGGATTCAAATTGGGGTATATCCAAATCTGATCTGATCCAGTTATCCAATCGGTCTTACAACGATTAATCTGAATTCGAGTTTGTCAAGGGTGGTGGATATCTGAATCTGATCCTATCAAATTTTTAAATGGATCTTTTTTTTCTTTTCAATCCAATCCAATTCAAAATTTTGACAGGGGGATACCTGTATCTGGCTAAATAGGATCAGATTCGATTTTGAATCAGATCATGATCCGGTCCGTTTGCTCTCCTTTATCTATTATTTCATTAAGGGGAGTGGGGATAACCTTTGACAATTGATTTGATAATTGCAATGCGTAAAACACCTCCCTTTTTGGGTTTGATCTCTGTGTAATAATAGATTTAATGCTAGTTCATGTTACTTAAGATTCTACCGTGTTAATCCATCATTAAGAATGACCTTCATGTTTAGTAGAAAAATTGTACTGGAAAGTATGAGGCCAAAATGAAGGGATATCTCATCTTTTAACATATCTTTTTAGCAATATATGGATGGAATTATATTATATTTAGTAGACTATACATACATTTACATGTCGTGTGGTTAACTGAGAAAAGAAGTTTAGTGCTGATTTTTGGTGTTCTCCAAATTCATAAAAGGAGTTCTGATGTCTATGTATTTGTTTCTATGAAGTTTAGCTTGTATTTTGTGGTTTCTGTTTTGCTTCATTTGTAGTTTGGTGGGGGTGACCTCGTCACCTAGATATGCTGTACTTATTTTTTTAGCAATAAAATTTTCTTCTTTATATATCTTAAAAATAAAAAAGTTAAGTGAGCAGAGAACAAACTACTGAGGTGGTGTCTGGTTTTCCTCAACTCCATCTAGTGGTGACAAGAGAAAATGATATTAAGCTAGGAGCAGTGTTTTAAAAGGCATGGGAGGCGTACACCTGGAGGTGCGCCTCCAGGTGAGGTGCCCCCAAAATGCCCTGAGGCGTATGCCAGAGGCGCTAACACCTCTGAGGTGTACACCTCAGGTGCAAGAGGCGTATGCCTCATGCACACCTCGTGTAAAAAGACAGGAAAAAAAGAAAAAAAAAGGAAAGGAAAGGAAAGGAAAGGAAAGGGAAGGGAAAGAAAAAGAAAGAAAGAGAAGGAAAAAATGAGAAAAAGAAAGGCAAGGGAAGAAAAGATAAGGGGAAATATATTTATTAAAAGTATAAAAGATTTTATATAAAATCTTTATGTTTATTAAAAATAAAGAAAAATGAGATTCTTCCTCCTTTTTCCTTCTCAACCCCCCCTCCTCTTAAGGAGGATTATGCCTCTTACGTTTTGAACTACACCTCATGCTTCTAGGTAGTGGAATGCCTCGCGTCACGCCATCATGTTTTAAAACATTGGCCAGGAGGTAGGCCCCAGTTCCCTTGACCAGTATTTGCAGGACTGCAACTGGGATAGTTGGCCAGTTATGGTATCAGAAGAAAAGGATGGTGTGATCTATGATGCCTCTAATTCCAAAAGATAAGCAGCAAGACAAACAAGCATTAGTGGTGGTGGATCCAGAGAAGGCAGAAGAAGTGATGTCGGTTTTGCAACTTTCACCCGTAGATGTAGTGGTGGGAGCTGATGGTGAAAATGTCCAGATTGACTACAAAAGTTGGCAAATTAGGAGCTCCTATTCAAGAACTTTTCTGATTGTATTGGGTAGATGAGATTGGGGAACATGAGAAAACGAATCAGTGGAAGGCAGGGGGTTATTTCAAACTGGGTGAGATCCAACATTTATAAGCAAATTTTTAGGAGTGCCCTCTGATGGCCATGAGGAAGATGTGATTGCTTTATTTGATGCAATAAGTAGTCGTACAAGACTACATATATTCTTTAGAGTTTGAATAGAAAATAAAAGAAAGGAAGTGAAGAGGAGAAGAGAAGAAGAGAGATAGAGAGGGGTTTCTCATAAACAATACCCATTCCTCAAGTAATGATCTTAACCATAGAATCTCAGCCACACCATTTGCCATGGACCTATATTCAGCTTCAGTACTGGAACGAGAGACAACACTTTGTTTCTTACTCTTCCAGGAGACTAGATTACCTCCTACAAAGGCACAATATCTAAAGGTAGATCTTCGATCATCAACACACCCAGCCCAATCAACATCTGTGTAGACTTCTATCTTCATGTGGTCATTTTTCTTGAACAAAATGCCTTTGCCTGGGGACCTCTTCAAATATGCTAATATCCTCTTAACTGCAAGGAGGTGAGTAGTTCTAGGAGAGTGCATATATTGACTTACTACACTGACTACATAACTGATGTCAGGTCGTGTGAGGCAAAGATAGAGAAGTTTTCCAACTAACCGTTAGAACATTGCTTTATCTTCAAGAGGCTCTCCACCCTCTGCACTAATCCTGTGGTTCTGTTCAATAGGTGTGTTCGCAAGCTTTACTCCCAACTTTCTTGTTTCTTTTAGCAGATCAAGGGCATACTTTCGTTGAAAGACAAAAATCCCATGCTTGGATCTAACTACCTCAATGCCCAAGAAGTATCGTTAGTTCCCTAGATCTTTCACCTCAAACACTTGATGAAGAAGTTGCTTAAGAGACTCAATTTCACTAGTATCACTCCCTGTTACTACAATATCGTCCACATACACAACAAGCAAAGTTATGGAAGAATCTACTCTCTTAATAAACAAGGTGTGGTCTGATTGGGCCTGCACATATCCGAACGTATCAAGGGCTCGTCTGAATCTATCAAACCAAGCTTTGGGAGACTATTTTAGTCCATATAAAGATTTGTTCAACCGGCAAGCCTTTTTTCTTGTCTTTGTACCATAAAATCCAGGAGGCAACTGCATGTAAGCTTCTTCCTACAAGTCTCCATTGAGAAATAGGACTCTGATAGTGGTTATCTTGCTATTGGTGTAAAAGTTTCTAAGTAGTCAATACCATATGTCTGAATAAATCCTTTTGCAATTAACCGGGCCTTATACCTTTCAATAGAACCATCAACATTATGTTTCACAGTGAATACCCATCTACATCCAACCGGTTTCTTTCCTTTAGGCTGGTCAACTATCTCCCAGGTATTGTTTTTGATGAGGGCATCCATTTCTACTTTTATTGCATTTTTCCATTCTGGTACTTCCAATGCTTCTTGTATTGTTCTGGGAATGGGAATATCGGCAATGGATGCGAGAAAAGACTTATAGGAGGGAGACAAATGATCATAGGACAAGAACTGAGAAATGCTGTGAGCTGTGGATGTGGTGTAATGGCGCTTGCCCTTACGAACTGCTATGAGAAGGTCAAGATCATCTAATGAAGGTGAAGGCTCCATGGTGGGATGTCTCTCATTTGTAGTATCTGTGGTACCTGGATCTAGATCTGTAGAAGGAACTGGGGCTACTGCGGTACCGAGATCTGGATATGCAGAGGGGCTGGGACTGGCCTGCACTACTGATGTCCGAAATCAACCTGTCTCCATCGTCTGTGATAGACTCTCACATCCCTGCACCTTTGTCAACCTTCCCCATTACACCCTTCTTCACTTAATGGGATTAGTAAAGGAACTTCTGATGAGTTGCTCCCAGCCTTACTATTCTCCCCCTGAGGAGAAACCTTTGGATAATAGGGTTTATCCTCAAAGAAGGTGACATCCAATGAGATAATTTTTTTTCCAGAAGTGGGTTCATAACAACAAATTTTTGAGTATGGGCATAACAACAATATCCCTTTTGAGTTTGGAACGATGAGGGCCAAGGATTTGAACGAAGTAAGTGCACCCAAAGGTTTTGAGTGGAATGGTAAACAATTCTTTATTAGGGTATAAAAGGGTAAATGGAGGTTTCATGTCAAGAACCCATAAGGGAATCTGATTGATGAGATAAACTACTGTAAGAACAACATCCCCCCATAAACGTATAGGCACATTTGAGGTAAACATAATGCCTCTGGCTACCTCCAATATGTGTCTATTCTTTCTTTCAACATCCCCATTCTGCTGTGGTGTATGTGGGCAGGTACTTTGATGGATAATCCTATGATCAAGCATGTAAGAGGCTAATGGGTTTGCAAAATATTCTTTTGCATTATTGGATCTAAAAATTTTAATTTTAACCCCAAATTGGGTTAAAATTATTTGATGAAAGATCCGGGTTAATGCAGGGATCTCATCTCGAGAACGCATAAGGTAAACCCAAGAAAACCGAGTATAATCATCAACAAACAACATGAAATATCTGTACCCCCCATGGCTGTGGTATGATAGGGTCCCCAAACATCAGTATGCACAATTTCCAAAGGAATATTGCTTCTGTTATTACTTGATGTTGTCCTGCATTGTTTTGCAAACTCACAACTTTCACACTTCAAACTAGACGTCTGAACAAATTCAAATAAACTAGGAAACAAACTCTTCAAAGCCTGAAAGGATAAATGACCCATCCTATTATGCCAAAGCAAACCTAATCAACAGATTGAGAAACAAAGGATTTCTTAGTTTTACTATCTTCTTGATGAGCACTTCCTCCAAGTAGGTAGATAACATTTGTCTCACGACTAGTCCCAATCACCTTCCTTGTCTCTAGATCCTGAAAAGCACATCGATCCGGAAAAAAGGTTACTGAACAATTCTGTTTTTTTGTAATGCTACTAACTGAGAGCAAGTTAGTATTAAGCTTAGGAACATGCAGGATGGAGGATAGGGAAATGGCATCAGACAACTTGATGTCTCCTTTGCCAGAAATAGGAACAAGGGATCCGTCAGCAATGGACACTTTGTCTTTACCAGAAGATAAATGATAGGTAGGGAAAAGTGATGGCAAGCCAGTCATATGGTCAGATGCTCCTGAATCTATTATCCAAGAATGTTCTGTATTACTTGGAGCTGAAGCATGATAAGCTGAGGCCCGATTACCTGATTGATCAAAGGAGGAGGTTGAAGGAGCTGATGGTGGCTGAGGAGATGAGACTGAGTTACTAACTTCACTTTC